GGTGTACCCACTATTGTGATTGAGTGTCCTGCTTTGCCAGAAATTTGGTTATCTAGCACAATAGATGAAATAAAACATATTTGACTGTGGCGCACACACATAAAAGTCAGTTGTCATGTTTCAAATCTTTATGTGAGTCTGAGTATAATAATAATAATAATCACTTGGTTAAAGCGCTGGTATCCGCCAGGCATGACGCTCATGGCGCATACATACAAAGAAAAACGTTTAATTACAAAAACGATGTGGAAACAGATATGTTTTGAGTTAAAACAAAGTGCACTTTGCAAAGATTCCCCTCCCCCCTTCCCAAAAGAAGATGTCTCATAGCTTTTATGCATTTCAGAGGACTAGATATAGATTTGCTTAAAACGTGCTCCAGCTTAAAAAATTGATTTTATGGACTTAATTGTGTGGACCCTTGAAATAAATGAAAAGTTACATAATCTCAGAAGATTTTGTTTCTGGCGCGCGATGTACACACAATGGAGGCTGCGTGCTGCAGGTATTGGGTCCTATCCTGTGTCTCTCCCCCCCCCCCCCAATGATGAATTCTAATTCTTTTAATGTGTTCCAACATGATTTGTTAATGCTCTGCTGGAAAAAAAATACAAAAACATTTCTGACCGAGGAAAAAACACTTATGCCTGATATACTTTACACACTGTGTATAATTATGCATGGTTAGAAGGGGCGGTTACTATTTCCAAAAATCCTGTGAAGCTACCACATTTGGCATGGGCGTCTCCAGGATTTTTTGCTGGGGGGTGGGGGGGAGGGCAAAGCACAATATTTCCCCAAATCCTGTACTGTCTGTAGCATATTCTTTATTTATCATTTTAATAATTATCATTGACACCCCTGCAGATGCCCATTTTGTTAAATGTGTATTTGATTAATAGCAAATATGACTTCACACCTCTTTTCTGGGACTTTCAAATTTCACAGCTATTTTAAACACTTTGAAATTGAAAACCCTCCCCTCTATGGCTCTATCTACAGCACCTGTTGGTGTTTAATGTCGCTAACTAGTTTGGTAAACTCCAATAACCTAAAAGTGGATTTTTGTTTGCTTATAGGAACAATCACCAACTTACTCACCCTTCATCTGACAACATTCTCTAAATTTTCATGAGACAGAGACAAGGTCCTCAGTATTTCAACAGCCAAGTTTGAGATCTCAATTCAGTCTGTTTTTTTAAGGAGACCTGTCTTCGACAATTGCATCTGAGAATGTCAAGATTTTCCAATTTGTTTTGCAGAGTGCGGAGAGAAAGTGGCCCAGCCAGCGGCAGCTACTTCAGTGAATCCGGGTCACCATATACCATCAGATACTCGGCAAGGGATAGCAAAGGCAACAAAAACAACTACCTTTGCACATTCATAGTCGCAGTGAAGGGTAAGTGTTTAAAGATTTAAAGACTGAGATTGTTGTCAGGAAACCAGCAAATGATCTTTGGTGTGTTTTGGGCCAGCACTCCTCTCTTCTGCTATTACTCACTTGTTATACATGCTTTTCCTCTTTCTAATTAGTAGGAGATGTGGAGTCCACCCACCAGTCACCTGGGGCACTGTTTCCTGTTCCCATGGCAACATGTACGGCTCAAAATGTTCCATCAGCTGTATGAGTGGCTACTCTATCCGTGGGTCATCCAAACGCACTTGCCGAATCAATCGAATGTGGTCTGGTGCTAAACCAAGTTGCACACGTAAGAACAAATTAGACAAACTAATTTTTAACAGTTGGTCGATCAATGTCATCACAAAAGGTAAAAACAACTTTTACTAGGCAGGCTTAATAACTAACAAACACTGACGTTTGCCATCATTTGGTGCTGTGGTCCAATGGTGACGGTGTTTGACTTGTGTGCTGTGGTACATGGGCTCAAATCCTGACCATGGGAACATGGTGATTGTGCTCTTGAGCAAGGCACTTTACCGTTATTGCTTCGTCCTTCGGATGGGACATAACGTCGTAGGTCCCGTGTGTTGTGTAATGCACATTAAAGAACCCAGTAACACTTGTCGCTAAGAGAAGGGGTTTGCCCTGGTGTTTATGGCAGTGGCTGCAATATAGCACCTAATAAGGTGCTACATAATGGGTCTCATATTTCTCATAAACTTTGTTAACCTTTCTTTCATAATAATATTGAACTAATTTGAAGCGCCTGAGTACCTATTGTTGGTAGACATGTGCCCTATATAAGACTCCATTATTATTATTAGAAACTTCCACGTAAGTGGGACCGACTGTTTTGCCATCAGCATTGGCATACATTGAAAACAAAGCTAACAGTCTTCTTCACAAAGAAACATGTTGAAAATTCTATTAAAATTCAGTATTTAGTCACATTTACATTGCAACCACACTGGAGGGTAAAGTTCATAAGTTTAGCATACTAATCTGTTATTTTAATATTTCCGTTTTATACGCCTTTTCACTGAGTCAGTGACTTTTATGTTTCCAAATAGATTTTTTTTTTTGCACGGTGACAGGGAGATTTTGGAGACAAATCATATAAAAAGACTATCTCTAAAGGATGCATAATCTGTAGAGCAATGCATTGCATAACTTGTGTGAAATGTGACAGCAATTTTTGTGCAGCCTATGCAATATGTGTCACAAGTGAAATGCTAGATCACTCTCTGAAATTTGCTTCTTCACAATATATTATCAACATTCTTAGAAGAGTACTTAATGGTGCAAATGTGATATGCCAATAAGGATGAGTTTGTCTTACGTTCACTATGTGGACTTGTGAACAAAAGATGTCCACATAATGCAGGTTGTGTTGACGTTATGTGGACTAAGCCGTGTCCCACATAACGTTTGCCCTCTCTGGAAAACAGGTTTACAGGCATTTTCAGGTTAGGGTTATCCGTCGCAGAATGAAGAGAAACATTCGAGGTAATCAAAACAAAATTTGGGGTTGAAAACAGTTTTCACAGTTTAAGTAAAGTTATTTTTTGTACCAAGTTTTCTTAACTACACGAAAACAAGGAATGTCCACATAGCGTATGTAAAACATACGTGTGTGAGTTGTACGTTTTTCTCAAACTCACATTTAACTCAATCTATTCTCGTGTTTATATTATCATTTCTAGAGAAGGTTGTGATTTGCATAATTGCTGTCCCAGAGGGCCAGCCTAGTGTCCTGTTTATACTTATCTCACTGACTGGTTGTGAGCTGGGCAGTGCTATTGTATAGGATTACCCCAAAACACCCAAATCCAGCCCATTCCAATGATAGCTACTATGGAACCAGCTTACAGGTCTAGGCTTGCCTTGTTGTTTTGTTTTTATCAGCAGGTTTCACTTTAAGATACTGATGTCACTAAATGAAAAGAAAATTTGTTTATTTGTTTACATGCCAGCAATTCAGTGTCCTCCTCTACGTGGACGTCCTGCACAACGCAACACTTACAACAGCATCTGCACCCACTCATGCCATCTTCCTGGCTACAGCTTTGCCGCAGGACAGAGTGGCACCAGGGTCTGCCGAGCTGATCGCTCATGGACTGGTTCACCCCAACATGTGTTGGTCAGTAATTAGTCTTGTCGGATCAAAAATGATTTCCTCTTTTCTTTAATGCCATTAAAAAAAAATATTAAAAAAGTCACAGAGTCCTGTAAAGTCTGAAAGGTTTTTTTTTGGTGACTCTCTGTTGCCTGCTTTACAAGGGCAGAGCCACACTCCTAAGAAGCACTTGTTTTGCTATAAATGGACCATTTCATCCATAGAGAGATCGACCAGTATTGTCTCAACTACGGCAAACCTGAGTGAAATTTTTTGGTTCAAAATTGAAAGGGTGATAAATGTAAGCTAGTATTTGATTTGATCAACTCTGCTTCCCAACAATGTATACAAAGCCTAGATTACAATGGACTTGGAAAATAAACTTCCAAATGTGAACTTGGAAAAGTTTTTTGGGCAAAGTTTGACAACAAATTGTACGTTTCTAATAAGAATTGAGGAGAGGGGTTCTGTTTTTTGGAGAATCCATTGTTGTAAATCACTAGTCTTAAACCTTCGTTTTCATTTTGTAATAGAGGTTTCATTGTAAGATTGGGATCAACTAAACCATCAAGAGATATCACACTCTCAGATACTTGTAGGACTAAGAGCAAGCGTCTGGAAGAAGTTTAAATGCTGACAAGGACAGTGTTCCTTTTATCCAAACTGTAGCTGGAAAATACCTCATAGACACATTTGTTCAAAAAAAATGGTCATGAAATTGGAATGATTCTTTACAAATACAACATGCTTTGTCAGATTTCATCACTAGGGTTCGTCATGGCTTAGCATGCTGTACGTATCATTTGTCATCCTAAATACTAAAGCCTTACCTCTGTGCTTTGTAGATGTGCAAGATCCAACAATGACCTGCCCAGACACCATCAGAACTTTCGCGTCTGAGTCTCAGACCTCCGCAAATGTCATCTGGGACCTGCCCAAGTGAGTGACAACTCTGGAGATGCCATCACACCAAATCAGACAGCAGGTCTGCCGCCTGGCTTGTTGTTCAGTAGAGGGTCTCACGTCATCAGTACCGGGCTCAAGATGATGCGGGAAACACTGCAGCATGCTCATTCTCTATCATTGTCCAAGGTAATAGAGTAATCTTAATATTACCGAATGTTTTAGATCATACACAATACACAAGCTTAAAATACTGCCAGCCCAAAACTAATTCAGTGTAGATTTCTTCAGGGTTAAGGGAGGTTGAAAAGTTTGCCGCAACATGTGGAGTTGTTTACTTCAGCCAAATACTTGGGCCAGTTTGACTGGGTTACAAGTATTCAGGCATGCAACTTTTCCTCGGATCAGCTGATTTCCTCTTTTTTTACTTGCCATGTGTGCCATTGAAAATAGAAAAACAGTCATGTACATGTACAAAGTCTTGGAAAGATTTGAATTTCCTCTTTTTTTTGTGACTTCCCAGTTGCATGTCTGAGTATTGATGATTGCGTCAAGGTATCTGGTCCGCATGAGAAAATGGAAAAGAAAAATTGGCCGTCCATGTAGGCCCTTCAGTGTCATATTTCAGTCCTGCATGTAAACCTGGTGTGAGGTTTCTTCAGATTAGTTCCGATTTCAAAAAAAAATTTGTCAGGATTTTTTTGTAAGGCTTTTTCCTGAGTTCAGGATTTTGAAGAATAGGGCCTACCTTTTGAAATTTGATTCCTTTGTTTTGATCTCTGAAATGTAAAAACAAAACGAAGCCTTTCTATCTATCTGACTTACACATGCTATCGCACCGTATTTAACTTTACCCTTGAACCCTTGTCATTGCAGTGATCCAGTGTGCAGATCTCTCCTACCACACTGGTCAGAGGAGGACGTGTTCATCACAGTTCAACTACGGCTCTGTCTGCCAGTTTGAATGTCGGTCAGGCTTTGTGTTGACCGGTGGTCAGGCGAGTATTGAATGTCAGAGACAAGGAGATGCAGGAGTGTGGAGTGCACAGCAGCCAACCTGCCAAGGTCAGTACAAGAATACAGCACTGTAGAATTGTAACATACGATATAAATTGACTGCATGTGGTAAGCCAGCCGTGTGTATGTGTGAGTATGGCTGTATTGTGAAAGTATCAAAAGATCTTGAGCATAGGGCTATATCGAATATACCAAATATTCAAATAGCTTTTTGTCGCTTTGAAGTTTCAAAAAAAAAAAGTATTCACATACGTACACGACTGTGATGTTACTTTATCATAAAGGTGCTGTTTTTTATTGTCGGGTGCCACTTTTTTGTCGACAGTAACTTCTTGATAACAGCGGTTCGTTATTTCTATCCTTTTAGCAGGTTATAGCCCTTGACAGGGATAAATGCTTACTGCAAAACACTCCATATCGATCGCTGCACAAAAATTTTAACTGGCGCGTTCAAGATCAACTTTTGAATGGAACAGCACGCAGTTGCAGCTGGCAGTTTCGAATATCCAAATATTCGGTCAAACACAGCTTTGAGTAATCGAATACTAAATTATTTGGAAAATGACAGCCCTACTTGAACAAAGACATTGACAAAATGGTAAAGTTTCAACATATGGCTGGATAGCTCAGTTGGTAGAGCAATGGAACGGCAATCCGGAGGTCGCAGGTTCAAACCCCTCTGCAGTCAATTGCTTTGTCGAAGTTAAACATTATTTGAAGATCTGTGATTTTACAGGCATATAGGATCATTGGCATTAATTTTAATTGTACCTATTAACAATTATTTTCAGAAAGCTTATATGGATCACTTATTTGGATTGTTTTGAGAGCCCCTTCCTGTTTAGCCTACTGTTTATTGTAATTTGCCTTTTGCAGCTGTCACCTGCCCTGCGTGACTGCACCAGTCAACGGTGGAATTTTCAACAACACCAGCTGCTCGACAGCCTATGGCTCTTGGTGTCGGTTCACTTGCGACGCCGGGTACCAGCTGACTGGCAGTGGAGTGCGTCGCTGTCTGGCACAGCCTGGAGCAGCTCAGGGATACTGGGATGGCTATGATGCTCGCTGCGAAGGTACAAATCCAAAAAATTCATCAAAGCCACTTTAATAACAGAACTGTCTGGGATTTTGCAAATATCAGGATTTTCTGATATTATTACACATTATAATTTGCAATTTGAATCTACTAGAAAATGTGACAATAAAGATTTCATTTTGAATTTTTGAGAAAATGTCACATAACAGCCATATTGTGTTATTTCCTCTTCTGAGGGTTTAGTCTAATACAAAGCTCCTACTTTGGGCTTTGCCCTGACTCTCTCCTTCCTTCTACTTAGTGCAAACCTGTCCACGAGCCTACATCCCTGCCAATGCTTACATCAGCAACTCACAGGATTGCCCAGCTACTGATCAGATCCCAGCAGGGACTACATGCCGCTACGCCTGCCAACCAGGCCATGTACTGACTGGGTCTACTGAGGTGACGTGTGGCAACGATGGAACTGGAACTCAAACTTCCCAGACTGTCAAGGTAAAAGAGGTTTTATAACCATTTACTTGGAATTCAAACAGCTTTTATATAACACCTATATAGATCCAATTGTCATTTGATTGGAATAATTTTGTCACATGACATTGAAACATTACCCCATTTCATTGACGAATATTCCATTGTATGATTTACATCATACATTATGGAAATTGGTTCCATTCATTTTACGCCAGTGCCCGCATGCCTCGGTATCGATCGGGGAGCTTGACTATTCTATGAGTATACATGAAAAAGTTGATGCACAATATCAAATACGACTACATGGTCATTTCAAGCTGTGAAAGATGTTGAAATTACCAAATCAGACCAGTTTCATCTGGGCAACGAAACATACCAGGCATTGATGGTAAAATTGAAGGAGGGGGTGCCTCAGATGCTTATTGCTTGTTGTCTTATTGGTTTATTCATTAAAAGTTTTACTAGTTGAATTTGGCACAGGGGAGTGCGTTTGATTACTTCCCTGCGCTTACTCGTGCAATCGCAACAGCGTTCGATTTACCTCTCACGCGACTTCTTGTTCATTCTTCGAGCCTGGTTCAAGTAATCGACTCACAGAGCCGGTTACTTGGGTAAGTATCCCATAGGGCCATGCAGTAAACATGGCTGCCAACGTGAAGTCCAACGGGAGCCTTAGGCGTGTCCGAAAATGGACGAAAAGTGTTGCAACCTGATGCCACTTTTGTCTTCATATATCATCTCAATGAAGGTCGTTCACTGCAAAAATGACGATAAGACGTGAATCTGGGACTGAGAAACATTTCCAACTTTGTTAGGAAATGCTTTCCATAGACTTTGTACACAAACCGCTGAAGTGGCGTCAGGTTGCAACATTTTTTTTCCGAAACGGGCTTCCAGAGCTACGGCTACGTCTATTGTCAGCGCGTCCCTGCGTATTTTCAATGGGCGTTAACTTTACCTGAATTGTTCTTTACCTGAAATTGTTAAGCTGGGGGGAAGTAATCGAACGCATTCAGAACACTTTTTTTGTAGTTGATAGTTCAGAGAAGTCTTGAATAGCAATCAACTTTTCCCAATTTAAATATATATCTTTTCAATATGTTCATGTTTGTAGTTGTCACCTGTGACAGCAGTTGAACTGCCCGCACCACAGAACGGCTTCAAGAATGGCTGCCCCCACGCAGAGGAAATCTACAGCACGACGTGCACGCTGGGTTGCAATCTGGGCTACATGCCCACCCAGCCTACTTACGTCATGTGTACTGACGACGGGAAGGCACGGCAACGTGGGATGCTAACACTATCACATGCGACGGTATGTAAAAATGTGTGACTTTATCATAAATTTCCTATGGACTTCGTACCACGATTAGAATGAGTTGCGCATACTTAGGGCAAAACGCATTGTGAATACCTGTATGTGGTGTATCCACTCCATTTGAAGTGCTCACAAAGTGTTGCACACTGTTCGTGTACAGAATCCTTAAAATAAGAGTTTTGAAGTGTGCAGTGTGCAGACCCTATTCACTCGAATGCAGAATGGTTGGACTACTCCAGTCAACCACTGATTTGGAACCGGACCACATGGCAGTATTCCATCATTGGTTAATAGCCATGTGCATCACAGCACATAGCAGGGAGCCAACACTAAGACGTTCGGGATGACATTTTGGCCATCATTTGACCTGAGATGTTGGCATGATGCTATGAGTGCGCAAGCAAGTTAATCACGAATCAACCACTAGTGGACTAATGGTCCTTGCCCGATGTTGTACAAATTAGCTTTGCTTTTGCTTAGAGTATGAGCTGCCCCTTGGCCTTGTAAACCTGACTTCACACAATGCCTCAATCATTCAAATTGGCTTGGTTTACACACAGCCGTCCAATGTGATCCACTAGAGATTCCTGGAGCACCAGGCTACCTGCCTTTGTCCTGCACACTCATGGAGTGGCGGTAAATGACACAGACCAGATGCAGAGTTATGGCACCGTCTGTGTGGTGTCATGTGACCTGGGATTCACCAGTAGCGGCTCAGCGAGTCGCACGTGTCAGCTGACGGCCAATGGGATGGTGTTCCTCTACAATGCACAGGTATGTGTCCATTTCATCTAGTCATCTGACTGTGTTCTGGAACACTAACTGTGAGCTTTTTCTTTCTTAATGTGTACAATTGTAACTTCAATTGTCCCTCTTCCTCAATTGATGTGACATCAACTTGCAGTTGAGTCCTCGCAAATCCATACATACTTCAATTACAAGTCATCTAACCTCAAGTCGATGGACACACTGTGCAAATGAGCTGTGACCAATAAGGCAGTGATCCCATTATTTCATTGATTGTTGGCGAATAGTGCATGGCATGTCATGGATTTGACCATGTCTATACTAGACACACTCCACAAAGTTTTGGGCTTATTTACCCCAAATAGACAAAATTCCCTCCTTTTGTTTCCTTATAATAGTTCTCCACTACTCATGACACTACTGTTTCCATCAGAATTGGGTTTTTTCTTATTGGATTTCCCTGATTCCACTCATACATTTTGCTTTTAAAAATAACTCAGGAACAGAAGCCGTTTTATTTTTTGGGGGCATTTCTGTCTTGCTCAAACAATGTGTATTTTGTTCATTATCTTTGTTATTCAAACGAACGTCATTTGGATTTTTGATAATTAAGATCAACAAAATTAATTGCCTTTGAAAAAGGTGTTGATTGAGACTGAAGCATAAGAACCTCTAATTTGGTTGATTTGTATGTTTTCAGGTCAATCCACGCAGTGAGCACTTTGCAGTGGTATAATTCATTTCATGTTTCTCTAT